TCTTTGAAGAGTCTGTTTCCTACTTTATTTTAGTCTGTTGAGATGTCAAATTTGAGATGTGAGAGTTGTGAGCTTGCCAAACATTGTAGAACATCTTATTCCTTGAGTAATAAAAGAAGTAATAATTCATTTGATATTGTGCATACCGATGTTTGGGGGCCATATCACCTCCCTTCTATGGGTGGGTATAGGTATTTTTTGTTGTTTGTTGATGACCATATCTGTTTTTCTTGGGTCTACCTTATGCGTTCTCGAGATGAGGTTCCCGCTCTGACCCAAAACTTTCATCAGATGATTTTAACCCAGTTTGGGGTCAAAATCAAAGTCCTCAGATCTGATAATGCAAAAGAATACTTTGCTAAGCCACTGGCATCTTATCTACTTGATCATGGGGTTATTCACCAGAGCACTTGCCCTCATACACCACAGCAGAATGGGGTTGCCAAGAGGAAGAATAGGCACATTTTGGAGGTGGCCAGAAGCATTATGTTTACCTCCAACGTGCCTATCCGTTTCTAGGGTGATGCTATCCTCACGGCAGTGTATCTCATTAATCGGGTTCCTTCACGGGTTCTTGATATGAAGCCTCTGTTTACCCTTCTATACCCAGACGAGGAGTTGTTTACTGTTCCTCTTAAAACCTTTGGGTGCACATGTTTTGTTTAGCTTCTTGGACCTCATCATTCCAAATTTGACCCTAGGGCCTCCAAATGCATTTTTTTGGGTTATGCACAAACTCAAAAGGGTTATTGCTACTATGATCCTGTTTCAGGGAGGAGATTTGTCTCAATGGATGTCACCTTCTTTGAGGAGGCACCCTATTATCCTAAGGTTTCTCCTCAGGGGGAGAGCAGTGAGAGTGGGGGTCTTTTTCCTCAGGGGGAGTGCAGTGAGAGTGGGGTTAACTCATCTGAGGTTGTTCCTTTACCCATTCCATTGAGTGATGAAGGCTGTACTGGTGAGGGGTGTCAGAGGGATCAGGAGTTGAAAGTCTATCACAGGCGATGTAGGCAGGTTGATCTTGGTCATCAGCAGTCCAGGCCAGCCCCAGCTCCTTCTGCGGATCCAGATCCAGGTACTACAGTCCCAGGGCCCATTAAGATACCTTCCACTGTTTCTACTTCCCCTCCTTTTTCGGATGACCTTGACCTCCCTATTGCGGTCCGTAAAGGGAAACAGCGCTGCACCACATCCACAGCTCACTGCATTTCCCAATTTCTATCCTATGACCGCCTGTCTCCCTCTTACAGGTCCTATCTCACTTCCATTGCTGATATCCCTATCCCCAGAACAATGTAAGAAGCTTTATCAGTTCCAGAGTGGAAAGATGCAATGAAAGTTGAAATGGATGCCCTTTTGAAAAATAATACTTGGGAACTAGTTGACCTACCCAAAGGAAAGAAACCAATTGGATGTAGATGGGTATTCACTGTGAAAGATACAAAGCCCGATTAGTTGCAAAAGGGTTCACTCAGACTTATGGTATAGACTACTTGGAGACCTTTGCCCCAATAGCCAAGATGACCACTATTCGAGTTCTATTAACCCTTGTAGTAAGTTATTCTTGGCCCTTGTTCCAGATGGACGTTAAAAATGCTTTTCTAAATGGAGACTTACAGGAAGAGGTCTACATGCAATTGCCCCCTGGATTCTATGATACAGAGATAGGTAAGAAGGTTTTCCGACTGAATAAGGCATTGTATGGATTAAAGCAGTCCCTAGAGCTTGGTTTGATAGATTCAGACTAACCCTTGGAAAATTCGGTTATGTATAGGCCCAGTTAGATCATACACTGTTCATTAAAAGGGTGGACTCTTCTTTGACCCTGCTTGCTGTATATGTGGATGATATTGTAGYGACARGGAATAAYAGTAGTGAGATTGAGTCCCTCAAACAGCTCCTTCATCAAGAGTTTGAGGTGAAAGATCTTGGTGCACTGCTATATTTTTTGGGTATTGAGGTTGCTAGATCTAAATAGGGGATCTTTATCTCTCAAAGGAAATATGTTCTAGATCTGTTGGCAGAACTTGAAAGTTAGGTGTCAAGCCTGCTGATACACCCATTGAACAAAATCACAAGATCAGTGCAGAGGGTGAGGAGCCTCTTGAAGACAAAGTTATGTTYCAACGGTTGGTTGGAAAGCTCCTATATCTCTGCCTCACTCGGCCAGATATCAGTTATGCAGTCAGTGTTGTTAGCTAGTACATGCATTCCCCTAGAACTACTCATCTTCTTGCAGCAGAGAGAATATTAGCATACTTGAAGAGATGCCCAGGTAGAGGTATACTGTTCAAGAACAATAATCACATGAAGGTGGAGGTCTATACAGATGCGGATTGGG